TGTGTGTGTGTGTGTGTGTGTGTGTGTGTGTGTGTGTGTGTGTGTGTGTGTCTGTGTGTGTGTGTGTGTGTGTGCATGTGAACGAGCTTCTCAGAAATTCAAATGTAGTAGGGCTTGACCCACCGTAAGTCGTGCAAAGACTTACACTTACATTTACATTCGCTATCTAAATAGTCACAATGCACAGTGTGCAGGTCTATTGGTGTGATAAACGTAGGCAATTCAAGTACTGACGCTGCCTATCTCTGGCTTGTAATTGGCACTTGTGTTTTCTCATGTCTCTTTCTTTTGTGTCTCTATCTTAAAACGTGGAAAAATGAAATACATGACACGGGTCTCTGTGGTGTACCACTTTGACATGTAGAAGACCAGAGTTAGATTCTCTTATGTTGGGAAAATTTTAATCGAGTACAATATATCTATTTTGAAACCTGTGAGTGAATAAATGAGCAGTTGAGCGTGAGTGCCCATGTACACGTGAGTGAGTGTGCGCATTGTGGGTCTGCACACGACTGCTCAATTGAAGTATACCCAAAATATGTCAGAAACCATAGGATGTTTCGACTTGCTTAGCTTCATTTTCAACAAAAATCTCAACTTAAATGCAAGACTCAAAAATTATAAATTATGTTTTGCGTTTTCCCGATTTCCTCAGGGATACAAGTAAATTTATTCTTTCAATATAAACGGCATACATTCATTGTGCTGGTTTTAAAGCTGCCTAGAATTGCTTGGGAAAAAAGAGGAGAGTTTAATATTGGAAAAGGTTGCCTTGCGTGTTGACTGTCAAACGGTGAACGCAGTTAAATCACGGTGCAACTGTCAACAATAGAAAGGAAAAATAACACATTATAGTAAGTCATCATACCTGAACACAGTGTCTTCACGTGGTGTTTCAACAACAATACAGAGAGACCAAAAAATTCCATTATGTAATAATCATTACCATCACAAATATGGGTGCCCCGACGCACGCACTTCGAGGTGGAAATAATTATCTCAAGTACATTAAGCATTCTGAAAGTAAAGATGATACTCGTTCTGAAAGCTGTCTGTGCCGCTGGTCTGCTCCATACTCTTAAGGTGATGGATCTCCATTGTTTTGGTTGCCACAAAGAGTTCGACCAGGTCTTTGCCCAGGGCATCCACCAGCACAGCGTCCTCTTGTAGGCAGGTCAAGGCTGTCTCTAGGTCCGGTGGGAGGACACAGAAATCTTCTGTCTTATTTTGCAGGGGTATCTGTGAATTGGCATTATCGCAAAGTAATGAAACAATAAGGAGACTTGGCGATTATGATTCAATAAGAACAAAGTGTTTACAAAAATTACTTATTGTCGATCCATCGTTTCGCTTGTAAGGCTATATGTGTAACATGATTAAACAATCAGAATCCCACATGGGGATAATCCAACACATTTGACCAGAGACAATAATTATATTATAATGATAGTATACTTGATACCGAACGCTCACTTAAAGAACACCAATCCTGTTTTCTCCTAATACGGATAACCCACTCTTTTTTACTCTTGGACTACTGGAGTTGACAAAGGTGGAGGTGATTTTTTCTGTGCTGAAGACACAGTACTTTGTAAGTTGAAATTTTCGTTAAATGTCGTTTTTAATGTGCGTGGAATAAGGGAACCAAGTGGTGCATACAAAACTTATGTGTTTCCACTTTCGATAAGTTTCCTTGTTCGTGCTTGAAAAAAAAAAAACCGGTTCCAGTGAAAGGCTTCAGCTTAGCGAGAGCGAGAGTGAGAAAGAGAAGGGTTCGAAAGAAACTCACATTTGGATTTTTGTTTTTGGAATTGGTGCAGTTGACAGAGAAGAAGATCATTGATACTTCGAGCTACTTGGAGCTATGCCTGTCTGAGTCAGTGATCAACGGAAATGCTTTGAACAAGGAAAGCAGTTTGTATTGTTTACCGCGCTAATTTCCACTGTTAGCTGATGACCCAGATGTTTCCCTCGTTAACCGTACCTTGTTCCTGATCCCGTCTATACCGGCGGCCACTGTGGCAGCCATGACCAGATAAGGATTTCCGGCTGAGCTGGGGAGTCTGTCCTCTACGTAGATGTTGTTCTTTCGGGTTTTCCGCACCACGAAAGTCGCATTCTTGTCCAGCACAGACCAATCGCTCCTTGTTGGAAGACGTTCCTTTCCAATACGCCTGTAATAGTGTGAATTTTTTTATCTTAATAAAATGGCTTCCCACAGTAGACGCACATTAAGTAACGAAAGTAACGAAGGGCCATGAAGTTCCATCTACATGTATTTATCTCCTGAGGGGTAAACCCACTAGGCTGGGACCCTCTTTTGGTACGAAATCTAAAAGTGGCATATGTATGTCACTAAATTGGTAATTAGAAAAACAAAAAAACAAATGGACTTATTTAATTTTATTAGTTTTTAAAAATCTAATCATATAATTATTAAAAGAGAACTGATTTTAGGCAAATACAGGAAAGTAATTTGACATCTGACAGCAGTTTGTGGAGATAAGAAGTGAAGTTACTCTTGATATATTATTATTGTACTGTACACCAGGTATTTTTTGCGTGGTTTCGCATTTTGGCCTTTTCGTTTTTCGCCATTTGTTGAGTCGCTAATGTAATGTATAATAATGTCTGTCGTACTACGGGATGTTTGCCAGTACACAGCCATCCCATACTTAGGCACAGTTTAACCACGGCGCTATCGTGCTGTATAGTTCAGGAAACAAGTTTGAACAAAAAGTACAACGACACAAAGACAAAACAGATCAAAGAAAACACCAACAAAAACGCCAGCGTGCTTTATACACGTGGATCATGCTGTGTATGTGTTACCAGCGTAAACAGACGTGTCTTAAAGTAGCAGGTTCTGTTGGAGTACTTGTGAAAGTAATGAATACAGTAAGTTCAGTAAGCAATACAAATTGTCTTTTAGGTTTCCAGTGAAGTAGCGCCCACTTTAACTTTTGCGACTTCTTGGCTCATTCTTTCTGCTGTCTTTCAGCCCCACCCCTGATCTTAGGGTAGGTAAGATTTAACACCTAGCCTTCTCAGATCAGAACAAAAATAATCTCGGAGGTCCCCTGTACAAGTTGCACATGTTAAATATCCCTTGGTTGTCCTGATATCGATAAGAGTAGGCTCCATCCGCCATCCTGGCAAAATTCAAAATAAATTCTTTTCAAACTGAAAATGCTTAAAGTGTTCTGCACGCTCATGTGACCTTATGAAGTTGCGAGCGCCGTAATACAATTATCAGGAAAAAATAATACCTTTTATGAACAACTTGAGAAGGTGGATTTCTTCAAAAATCGAGAGCATCGCAAATTCAAGATGCGCATGAAAAGAAACAAAAATAAAAGTAAAACCCAGTATACAAAAGACCCTGGTCAGCTGTGACTGGTACGTTTCTAACCGGTAACAGTTCACCGTGGGCATACAAAGAGCTGTCAGACCAGGTCCATGTTTGACAAGTCCAGCAATCCAGTGCCTTGCCACATCTGACAGCTGATGGGTAGAAACAAGATCACACACATTAATAAAATAAAAGAACGAATTTGTTTGTATGTTGGTAATTATTTTTTAAATATTTTTGGTTTAGAAAATTAAGACAGTGCAGTAACTAGATCTAATTTGTTTAACTGATTTCTCTGGTAGTTCTTTCTAACAATAATATTGATGTACTTAAACATAAGACCAACAAATCCCAAGCTTTGAAGGAACAATAATCATTTTTGACAATATTGTCAATACATGTATTAGAACTTCAATGCAAATCAATGCACCGATATCAACAACAACAACAACAACAACAACAACAACAACAACAACAACAACAACAACAACAACAACAACAACAACAACAACAACAACAACAATGCCACTAGTAACAATAATAAAATGATAATAATAATGATAACAATAATAATAATAATAATGATAATCATATTAATAATTGTAACAATATTAATAATAATAATAATAATAATAATAATAATAATAATAATAATAATAATAATAATAATAATAATAATAATAATAACGATAAAAATAACAATTTGTACTCCCAAGTTGGGTTATAACGCGCTTTACATCATAAAACCGATCGCTTTTAAGTCTATAAACAATTTTGGATCCTTCACTTATCTTCCAGGTTAAATACATAGTTTTGTCAACTGTAGTTATGTGAACAAATAATGATCCATATACTTAGATTGCCATGGGACTATGGGAAGGGATTTTCCTTGCCGTTTTGAAAATGCTCCTTATGTCTACTAGAATGTTGACCTGAGTGCCTGTGTGTGTCTGCTCTATTGTAAAACTATTTTAGTTGAACGAACTGTTATAGATCATATTGTTGGTCAGCACTCTTTCTTCTACATTAGGCCCAAAACAGGGAACCAGTTACCACAAAACACCAGGGACGCCAATTCTTTGAATATGAAACAATATTTATTCACACATGCGTATCTATCATGTAATATTTATTATTTTAACTGGTGCTGCTGCTTCACAGGCAGAGAGAGGGGACGGGGGAGAGAGAGGGGGAGAGAAAGAGAGAGAGAGAGAGAGAGAGAGAGAGAGAGAGAGAGAGAGAGAGAGAGAGAGAGATACTTCTAGACCACTGTGATACCGTTAAATACTTCTAGTACCGTATGTTGGGGAAAGCTTTTGTTTGTTAGACTGAGATTTTATGTTGTAATAGATCTAGTATTAAAATTTTATTTCGTGGAATAGTTTACCCGCCATTTTAAAAGGTCCACTTGTATAAGACTTTTTGCACTCATTGCTTCTAAACCTGCCCGTCACTGCCTATGTCACCGTCTACATGTTTTTATACATTAATATAATACATATTAATTGTGTTCTTTTATCAGCACATCATTTCTCTTTCAATGCACACCCATCGCTAAAAAGAAGTACTTTTTACATTGCACTCGCTTCGTAGGAAATCCACGAAGCAGCTCGTAAATTCACCTTGGGTGACGCCGTCCTTGGCGTCTTTCGCCGTACGGAGCGAAATTGTGCAACGCTAAGCTAGTTTTGAAGAACTGATCGCGCGGCTGCTGCGCAAGCAAAGTACCCCAAAGACCCATGGAGACAACACAGATACTGTCATCAGCATACTCCATGCTAACCACGGCCAAATTCTTGTCTGCTTCCTTTTCCATTTTTGCAACAAATTCGGCACTAATGTGAGAGGCCATGATCTTGTCTGACATGTTTCCAGTTTCTTTACTTACATTTACAGTTCACTGGATCTTTTTCGTTTAAAGTTGGGACAAAAATTGTTTTTAGGTATTCACCATTTCACGAAACATTTTTTCTGACAACATGTTTGGTTATAATAAGTGGACAAAGAAGTGATTACTAAGAATTCCACATAATCTGGAATATTACTACTTCATCTAAGATAGGAGTCGCCGAGATGTGATCACTCAAGATAAACCTGAAGAAAAAAAATCAGACTTGGCAACATTGTGAGAAATCAAAGAAACTTAAAAGTGTGTTCGCAAGAGAACTGAGGTGGATCATTTTTAGTCAAATGGACATGTATTGCATTTCAAATGAAAGGAGGATTTAATTTCGACAATAAACACTACTTTATTACGATCATTTCAAACAGATTGGAACACATAGCAGTCACAAGTACTATGCAAAATTTTGACTTAACATTAAATGCCACTGGTTTTGTGTAGAGTACAAACGCCTTTGAGCAAGGACAGTATATATTAAATTTTAGACATAATTATCTGTCACTGAGAGTTGCAGACAAAGCATCACAATTGGGAGCAAAGTCATAATTATTGTTTCATAAGGCTCAAATTTCTTATAGGGGTTTTTTACTGGTGAATACTCCATCGATGGTATGATTTGGTTTCTAATAATCGTTTTGTAGCGTTGGTTCTTTGAGAAGCTAAGTTAAAATGCACAAAGATGCCTACTTGAATAACACCATGATGAAACAAGGACGTGACATGACGTTCCAGCACTTGCGCAATGTAGTCCTTCAAACAAAGTCTTTCGTTGATTCTCTCAAGTGGGATTTTGTTCAATCCAGCCAGACCACCCGCAAACAATGGCAGTTTCGAGGCCGCAGTTCAGCACTGACAGATGATTATATCCGAATTCTAACCAACACAGTCCATGTGCCAAAAAGTTTCTTTCTCTAGACTTAACCTACGGATCCTAAACCAAATATCAATGAGCACATTTATTAATGCTAAATAGTATACATTCACTCGTCGTTTGGTTTAAATAATGTATCTTTCTAAAGGCTTACCTGGTGTTCGTTTGAGTCGTCAAGTAGCATATTTGCCCCATCCAACGTCCAAAGAGAATGGTTGAAGTGCAGTCCAATCCCGAAGTAGGCTGTTTTATCTACCTTTGACATAAAGGAAGCAACATAACCTTTCCTCTTGGAGAATGTTTTCACGTGACTTTTGAACAGCGCCGTGCCATCAGCTGCCTGTGAAGTCAATTAATTGACATGTCTCAGAAGCCTACACGTTGTTTCAGACGTAAATCTAGCCTCAGACAGCAGGATTTCAGTCGCCACATTCATCTACTAATTCGGAAATCAAATTTTAAAAATTAACAATGAAACCACAGTAATATAAATTAGGGCAATATTCGATGGACAAAAGTTCAATAACATGTTATGTTCAAAATATGGAATCCCAAGCTCCCAACGTAAAATTGAACAGGCATTTTTGTTGTATTTCGAGTGGTTATTAAGTCAGCCTTTTTTCGCTTTCAACATGCTGAGTACGTTCTAAATGGGCAATTCTGTTGCGTACAACTACTCGAGTCCCTTTTTGTTAAGTTGTCTGAGAAAAAACATTGAGCTGCCCTAAAATATTGTGTTTGTCTTGATTAAACCTCTGAGTTATTGTTAACATATGACTGTATTTAGCCGTGTCCGAAAAGTGCTTCTAAATGATGGAACACACATTATAGTTACATCTCTGTGGCATTTACCTTTATGCCTTCGGCCACATCAAGCGTGACTTCAAAAAAATCGCTGTTGGTCTCAGGCTGCAGGGTTTCTGTCAGCACATTCATCTGTTTGAGTTCATTTAGGAGTTCCATGAAGAAATCCTATAATAAATACGAAAGCATGTATGTTATCACACTCTTTTGTTTAGAATTTTAAAAGTAATTTTCTCTCCAGTTTTATAGGTGCCGACTTGCACCTCGTATGTTATACTATTCTACAACCTAGGTAAAAAAACATCTCGAAAGTCTTGGAAGAACAGGGTTTGGTTCTCTGGGGAGTGTGGTGATGCCGAAAAAAAAGTAGGCAGCATATCGGAGAGTTTTCAACCATAACACTACAGAAAACAAAATTGCATAATAGTATCAGAAAGCTTGAGATATGGCATGTAGATGCTCGTTCGTGTGTGCGCACACACACACACACACACATATATA